GATCGAAAAGTAAAAACACTTACAGATGTTAATGCCCGTATTCCGTGCTGCTACGTTCATTTATTAACAAATATTTATATAAATAACTAAAATGTTAGTTCATGTAATTCACAACTTTGCTTTAATTATTTGACGTCTTTGACAGTTAGAAAAATTATAAGGCGAACTTGTCCACAGGGGGTGAAAGCAGGCGTGCTGTAAGGGACTATCACACAGAGTCAAAATGAAAATATTTGCAGAAGATAACATCCATAGATAAAAAATCAATTGTGAAAAAAAAATCACATATATTTGTCTACAATATCAGTAGAATAGTAGTTTAATATTATAATTAAATGACATGATTGCATTTATATACATGTACATTATTTTTTAAAACTTTAATGAAGCTGAAAGCTATTAGTTAAATTGACATCTTATATAAATATAAATAATATATAATGATAAACATAGTAGTAAATATTATTAAAAGAGATTATTTATGCAATCTTATAAACATTATTAATATTATATTAACTACAGCATTGGCATGATTTTGTAATGACTGAAACATAATATGAAAATTTACATTTACCTTGTTTTGCTAATTAAATGTTTGATAATTTTCGTGAATCCTCCAAAATCAATAAAAAAAGGTTCAGCAAATCTACATACAACAAATTAGAAATATGCTAATAAATATGTAATCAAATAATAAATAATAACCATATACCAGAGTGACATCTGTCGTAAGTAACCCGAACTGTTGATGATCTGAAGTTGGCAACGCTTACTGCGTCTCACTTGACGTTAACAAAAGAACATAGCTAGGCCGAGCCGAACGATTCATAGTACAATATTAATTTACAAATTTGACATAAGTGTTTGTTTAGTAAAAAATGGCATCAACTGCCCCAAAAACTTTCAGAACAGTGAATTCAGTAAAAGGTATTAGTTTTTTCTTATCGGCTATTGCAGTAAACTTTCAGTAGCATATTAATATATATATGTCGCTCTTGTTACATAATGTCACTCAGTTTTGTTAAGTAATTAATATATTATTGTTTCAGATAAAATAAAGAAATGGGCGTATAATGCATCTGGATTTAATCAATATGGTGAGTGTCTTATAATTACATTTTGTACATGTTTTGCCATACATATTTTTTCTTTGTACATAACCTTTATTTTGATAGTTATTATGGCCGATGTCTTTCCCAAGTTGACATCAATTCTTGAAATATTTTTTTTTCACATTCGCTATTGAATAGCTATTGATTTTTTGTTATAAGTGTGCGCTTTATTATTCTGATATCTGAAATTCACATTTAAACAATTCAAGTTCTTTCTTACAAATAACTTCTTATTATTGATTCAAATCTTGTCGTCTATTATATTAGTGTGATAAATTTTATGAATGTTGTCACTATCAAATATATGTGGATGTTTCTGCTGAGTGATATTTTATGTAAATGGTGTATTTTTTGTGTAAGTTTAAATTCACAGACTTCTCAAAACGTAAAATATTTAAACTAAGTGTAACAATTAAATTAGAAGTCACAACTATAATTTTATTGTATGGTTTTATGGAGTTTATATATATTTTACCATTATTTATTGCTCCTCCGGTTGAAGTAAATCTTTGGATATAGATATTACAAATTTAACTTTATAAGAGAATGAGTGAAATCAGTTTCAAGTCATACACAACTTCCAATATAAAAATTCAAACATTATTTTAGGACTTCACTTAGATGATGTCCGTCATGAAGATGCTGATGTTACTGAAGCTTTACGCAGATTGCCCCAAAACATTGTTGACGAGAGAAATTTCCGTTTGGTGCGCGCCATGCAATTGTCTATGAATAAAATCACTTTACCGAAAGATCAATGGATCAAATGGGAAGAAGATTGGAGATATTTGACCCCCGTTCTGGAACAAGTAAAAAAAGAAAAATTAGAGAAAGATGAATGGAACAAAAAGTAAATCAAGTGTATGAATTGTCTTAGAACTAGTAAAATTTGAAAATTGTTGATGTGTACTATAATAAATAAATAGAAAAATTATAGTATAGTAATTTTTTATAATATAACCTAAGGTTAACTACATAAGAGAGAAAAACGATTTGGTGTAATGTAAAAATTGAGATACTTTACTACCTACATTGATGAATATTATCACTCTTGTCTTGTTTGCAGTTCCTATTTATTTCTCAAAGCTCTCTTCGTATGCTTTTCTATTCTGCACTTCAGTTAATTTCTAATGTATTCTTTCTTGAGTAATTTTTCACCATTTGTTGTCTTTGGAATGTTCTTTCTATCCTTCTTTTCATTTGATGCTGTTATGCAATAAACATTTTTTCCCAACATGATTTTGATCCAGTTTACTTTTTAAATTCCTACTCTGTAAAATTCTTCTGTGTTACTTCAATTTCTAATATAGTCATCAGTGAATTAGTTTTCTATCGTAGTATGAGTTTACAGATTATTAAATGTGCAAGTACATTTGTAAATATTTTTAATGTTATGATTAATTTTTGTTTATCACTTCACACATACATACATCATAGAAAAATAATGTTGAGAAATATGCTTTATAGATGTTTTGTTGGCATTTTGCAAATTTGGCATAATGCTCTAATGTCGAATACATAATTCATAAATTTTCTTTGAATTCAAGATCTTTCTTTAGTGTCATTTTGATATTTAAACCTATTTAGATGAATTTCAACTTAGCTTCCACTATTTTGTGTATACAGTGAGTGTTACCCCAATGTATTAGTTTAATTTGCTCTGTAACCAAGCTTGTATCACTGTTTGTGATAATGTTAATGTTTAATTAATGTTTATTTCTCTTCATTCATGATATTTCAGAAATGCGTGAGATGTTTTGTTGAACAACAAAGACGTTAATCTACAATCTTTTATAGCTCAGAAAGTTGCTTATAAATTGTTGTAAGGCCCCTTAGCTGGTGTTATACCCTTTATAACACCTTCTATTTTTACATAGCACATTTCTATAACATGTTTCACTCGCATAATACATGTTTTCAATAATTTTCACGCTTTAATTCAAAAGCTATGGCACTTTTCCTTCAATTGAACGGTTATAAAAGTAAATCATATTTTATAAATGTAGAAAAAGTAGAAAACGTAAACTCAACATATACATATACATATAAACTGTAGAATAACTATTAATTTCTTGATATTTTCGCGTGGGTAAATAGTTACTACACAATATTATAATATATAATTAAAATGACTAACTATAAAACAATTTACTAAGGTTTATGTGGTAGGAAAATCATTGTTACAACTGACCAAATCATTCATATTTTGATCTGCCAATAACGGTTTTCTAGAAAACTCTTACTCGCTCAACAATGCTAGTTTTTGGCCGTATGTCGAAGCAACGAATGGTTTATTTGGTAGCTCGTATTTCGAAACATTCGTATGTAGGGTCACTTGAAGTCGGGGTACCACTGGTATTATTCTGTTTGTTATAAAGATATCATATTACTTTATTGTGGTGGTTTAAAACTTCATAAACTTTTATATTATTTTGATGGTACTTTGGTCAAGTAATATATCTGATTCGAATCCTAGTTTAACTAACAATATTTTTAATTAAACAAATTATTTGTTAAATATTTACAGACTTTGCATTGTTTGAAAGTGATATAATTTCAATTGAGGTAAGATAAAAGCATTTGTATGGTGCTACATTTATATATTATACGTTCTATATTTTATATTATATTCTATTTCTATTGGAGCTCGTTCTATTCATTTTCGCTTCTTTTCATCGACGCCAAACGTAGGTTTTATATAGGTTCGTTTGTATTTGTTCTTCTGTGTTTTTCTATATGTATTTGTGAAAACTCACAATGAGCAGATACAATGTCCCAATGGTTTGGAGAATAATGCACACAATGATGATACACACAGCCTTAAGAAAGAACATACAATAAACACAATGTATTATATTGAAAGTATTTTTATTTATAATACATTACCGGCACTGCGTTGTGTTTTGGAGGCCTTTGCACGTTCTTATTGGATTCGAGCAGGAATAGATTTACAGGAACTTGTACTGAATTGATTTTGAATATATTTTGCTATTAATTGACATAATAATAAAATCATTTGATACTAACAAACTTGCATAAAAGGATTTTTATTGAAAAGCAATCATAATAAATATAATTCAGAGCTTATAAATTCATTTTATTAGATAAAATGCAATTTTGACAAAAATAACAGTAAGAATTCATTCAAATCAAACTGAAGTTAACAAAACATATTTTTTGAGCATGTTTTAACTTGCTCTGTAGAAGTACAGAGAATGAAATGTTTTCTTTCACTATTTTTAATATATTTTTATAATTTTTCAATTAATTTTAGTTGTTTATTTACTTTCTTGAAACTAAATCTTCATGTAACAAGTTGTCGATTGGCTTCATATAATAATTTAAGCAAGTTTGTAGCTTAATTTGACCTTGTTTTCAAATTCATTATGAGTATTGGTCTATGTATTTGTCAGTTTATCTACCAGTACCTCTGTACCTCTGTTGACCTGTCTACCTGTCCACCTATTGCTTTGTCTATTTGGACAGGAGTCTATCTGCCTATCTATCTTTTATTGTTCCATTATTTTACCTTTTAGCCTGTTTACGTCTAACGTTTTGTACTTTCTACTTGTATGAGAACTAATTTAATTACTTCTTTCCCCTATTATTGTTATAAAATTTTATCATTAATATATACGCGATTAAAACACTTATATTTTTAAGAAACTTGAAAAATTAACAGGAAACTTATATGAAAACGCTTATCAAAGTACATACAAATCATTTTATTCGCAAATTTTCTGCAGACGTTTTTGCAAATGCGTTATAAAGGTACGACAACCGTTTTCGAAAGTTTTTATTAAATAAAATATTTAATACTGAAACGATTTATATTCATCATTGATTCCAATTTATTAATTCAAATCTCTCTTAACGTTCTTCAGTTATTTCGATATAACATTGCGAAAAGTCGAATTTTCAAATTTTTTATACTTGTAGAAGTTTATTAATATGATTAATTAAGTGTCGTTAGATTAAATACATTTTTTTTCGAATCTGATACAATTTATAATAGTCCTTTGGACACAAAGCAAACTTGTTAAATTCTATTACAAAAATCTTGCACAGTTGCGTTACTCCCTTAACTAGAGTAAAAGATATAAAAGTTGTAGTGCTTCATGTTTAAGATAGATCCATTTTTCCTTTTAATGTTTTGGTGTAGTTTATTGACATGGGCTTATTGGCGAGAATATTTGGATAGTTGTCTAGTCCAGGGCTTCTTAAAGTGGGGGACGCGAACCCCCAGGGGGGCCGCGAGACTACTAGAAAGGGGTCGCAAAGATCTGATACTTTTCAATCATTATAAACAAAATTTTAAAATTAGTATTATTAGGCCGACTATTTTCACGATAATTTATGGCTTCTCAAGCTATGCTATTTGGCCAATATTTTTGATAAAATCAATGATAAGAATTTATCAATGCAGGGAGTCTGCGTTAATATGTTTATGGTAAAAAATAAACTTGAGGCCTTTGTTAAAATAATTCTTATATGGAAAAACAGAGTAGAAAGTGGATCGCTCGAAATGTTTCCATTTACTGACGAGTATATAATTAGTAACAATATTTCAGAAAAAGATACTCCTATAACAAAAATTATAGTTAATCCTTTGAAGAATATGGAAGTTTACATGCATAGGTATTTTATCAATGATATCGATACACAACAATGGATTTCCAATCCATTTTCAGAAGAATCTTATTTTGATTTTTTTAAATAATGCTTGTATTGCTCTCGCATGCTGTATCCCAAAATGTTCATCAAAAATCATCAACATTTGTAGTACTTAATTTTGCATCTATATATTGCTACTGTAATAGACTCTTAGAGTTTTTTTGAATCTATCTAGAAACAACAATACTCAATAAAATAAAATCATCAATATTTATGGTAAATCCAGTGTGAATATTCTGAGGTAATATTGGAACCGAATTGCCCCAATGTCTCACCACCGAAACGCAGCTAGTGAGAAGTCCGACACAAACACCCTCGCAGCCGTACACAAATGGGAGTTCTTTCTTTACAGAGAGCGAGCGGGCTATTGTGTTTTTCTTAAAGCGCGTACAGTCGCGGAAAAGATATGGGTGCGCTATCGCTGGCAAATATCTTCATGGAAAACCTGTGGAATGGAAAAACTTATGGCGTGCAGAGACATACTGTTAGAAGAAAAGTTGGATATATTAATTTTGCTTAGGATTTTTTCGGATTTTTGCTTTTGTTATCCTTAATTATCAATCAGGCATTGATTGTTCAAATAATTGGTCAAAAATTTCTAAATATTCAAATTTTTCTTAGTTTATGCATCTAGAGTCTAGATGCCTAGTGCCAGGACTATCACTGGATCTTCTTTTCTTCTAAATCTTATCTTCATATACTTTAATCTAGCTTATTTTTTTACTTCTAATGCTTTTCAATTACAAGTTATTAATTCAAATTCTATTTTAATTTTAACGTGACAATTTAACTTCTGTGTCGGTGCCAGGAGTGTCACTGGTTCTTCTTTTCTTCTAAATCTTATCTTCATATACTCTAATCTAGCTTGATTTTTTACTTCTATTCCTTTCCAATTACAACTTAACAATTCAAATTTTGTTTTAATTTCCACAAAACTGTTCAGGACAGTGATAGTGCAAGGACTCGATTAGGGGTTGGCTGGCTTGTGAATAATTCTTGCAATATTATGATTGTAATAATCACAATTACTCATTGATCTCATTTAGTTATTTCTATATTATCTTGTTATTTTCATTAATATATTATATTTCTTTTTGTTTTTGCTTTATATTATACTTCTAATACAATCTCCTCTGGGCTGCTAATATTCAATCATGACGTTTTTGAAACATAGTTCATAGGAATGTGCCTATGAATCTATTTAACACATAAAGCCCGACAAATTTATATCTTTCACTCTAATTGAGGGATGAATATAAGAT